ATCTGACATTTATCTTCATTGGGCGTGGGAAATGGTTGAAAGACAGGGAGTGGGGGGGGGAGGGGGCATTGCTTATAAATGTTGGGTGCTGGCAGAAGAAACCTCTTACACAAATCCATCCCAAAGAGTAGCCGCGGCCACTTGGCTCGATGAAATCTGCCCCATCTGCTTTGATTTATTCAGCCAGGGCGCCCCCTGATAGCTTGCTTCATTTGAAGGATAATTATCCACTGTGTTATAAACGCCGGTCCCTTGTCCCCGGGAAGTTGGTGTCAGGGAGGTTAGACAAGTGACAAGTGACAAAGCATGTCCAATCATTGCTCACACCCTGGGAGAGGCGGCCAGCTGAGGTCGGGTCACCGAGACCCGGGCACGTGCGGAGGGGTCAGCTGTGTCTGCCTGTGTTACTGACGGTGGCCCTTTGCCCATCTCCCGCACATATCAGAGGTATAGGCTGCCTTTCCAGGCTGCTCCTCCCAGAGCGGCGTCTTCCAGGGCTGTGCTCAGGTCAGCACCTGGAGCACAGGCCTACCTGGGGGTAGCAAGTCACTGCCGAGGGGTTTGTGCCCACGTGTTCTCGGTTTGTCCCTCCAGATCCTCTCAACCTGTTTCTACCTTCTCCGTGCCCGGGAGGCTGAGCTCTGTGGTGTGCATCAGTTAACTGCCTTGCAATCCGGCGTCGGGAGGGGTGTGGCTAATGGGAGGTGCCGACAGGACATGGGAGAGCAGGAGAGAGAGGTCCATGTGTTTCTTCTCCCCCGGAGGCCACAGACAGGAGTGGGTGCTTGTCATCTAACGAAACCCCAGGTCCCCCGGGTTCTGGGTGGCTCTCCCCCTTGCCTCCGGCTGCCTCTGGATGCCACCCTTCCGTGCCAACAAGTGGTGATGGCTCCCCCTTGTGGCTAGACCCAGGAACATGGCCATCTTGGGCTGGCCGCTCTTAATCGTGCCCGGGCCACTGCACGGAGTCTCTTCTATAAACTGCCCTCAAGTGCTGCTTGCAGTGGGCACCACTGGTGGCATTTCCTGCCAACACTTTGAACGACACTGGGCCATCCATCTGACGCCCGTGACTCCTCTGCACAAGGACGCAGGGTGATCGGACTGGGAACAAGACATTCTTCCCGCAAATACAGAGCCGTGCCACATACCCTGTGCAGGGCGGCTACGATATGACTGCAAATACACAAACGTGGAGAGCTCCTTGTCCGGAAGGGAGACTGGGGAGCTGCCAAGGGCCCAGGGGATCCAGGGGAGGACGCCTGTGGGGAGTCGAAAAGGACTTCCCGGGGGGGATGGCCGCTGGGCAAGAGCTGAAGGTTGAACTGGGGTCGGCTGCGAAGAGCCCCAGGCAGAGGGAAGTCACAGGTGGCACTGGGGGTAAGCAAGTACAGTCTGTCTGGGGACCTAGGAGTCAGTCAAGCTGCAGGCAGAGATTGCAAACAGTCATTCCAGACCCTTGGATTCAAGTGATAGTAACCGTACTCAAACGAGTTTAAAATGGAAGGGAAACTTTTTGGTCCACGCAACTGCGTAGTTCAACACAAGACTGCCTTCAGGCACAGCTGGATCCAGGGCCTCAAATAAAATTGTCCGCCCTCTCTCTTTTCCACCACCAGCACCGTCTCCACCCTTTTGACCCCCTACTTATGTCAGGTCTTGACTTTTCGAGACTTATTATCGCCCACCAGGTACAAGTTTCCACCACTTGGAAGAAGAGAGAGCTGCCATATCCCCTCAACTCCAAGACCCAAAAGACAAGGCACCACTCCTTCCTCCTGCTACAAACAAACGAATGGGAAACCCAAGAGCTGTTCCCCTGAGTTATATACCCGTTCTGTAACCAATCACTGTAACCAGAATTTAGTGAGGGATTATATTTGCTGAGCCAGGGTCATGTGACTCCCCGGTGAGGTTGGGGACAGGCTGTTCTCAGTGGCGGCCCATCAGAGTCACAGCAACGTTGTGGGGGTGGAGAGCAGTCCCTCAGGACGGTTGTGCAGGAGTAAAAGCCACCCGTGTCCGTCATGGCCAGATGTGAATTTGGGGAGGGGAGCAGAACCGCTCGGGGGACATTGTGCCCTAGCTGGCGTGTGCCAACCATGAACTCCCCTCTCCTCCCCCGATGCTCACACACACCTGTCAGAGCCCACCTCCCATGCCGGTTGCCATGCTCTCGTGCAGACACATTCCCAGTTGTGCTTTGACTTCATGGATGACCTCTGCTGGATGACCTCTTCGTGGATGGTCCCAACTTCTGATCTTGGGTTCCCATCTCGACTCTATCTGCTTGAAACAGGGGCCTGACCTTGGCACCTGGATGAAACCACCACCTCCTCGCCACCGTGAGTGTGTCCCCAAGGTCTGGGGTCAGGACTAGCAGCAGGAGGTCAAGTCCACCAAGAGCTGCCTGCGGGCGGCACGTCCTCTCACATCAGGCATGAGTGTGAAACAAGGCGCCAAGGCTTGGAAGGACAGCAAAGACAGGACAGGGCCCCAGGCTAGGAAACCAAAGCGGAAGCCAAAACCTTGGGAAGGGACGTACTCAGGAGAGTGGAAGGGCAGACAGAGGAAGAGACAAACTCCGAGCAGCCGTCACCAAACGTGACAGGTCCTAGACGCTGTGGAGTCTTAGAGTCATAGGTTCACATCCTGGTCTGATGCTTACTTGCTCTGTGGCCTTGGGCAAGTCACTTCACCCCTCTGAGCCTGCTCCCTCTATAAACAGTACTCTCACCAGAGATCCGCCACCAAAGATTCATTCACCAGCGTGCTAAGAGAATTAAATGAGTGACTTTTGTTGCACACACGATGACATACAGTAAATTGCTCTACAGACGCTGTGGTGTGGGTTAAGGCAAAGGCAGATGCTATAACAAATATACCACAACATCTCAGCGACCTAAAACAAGAGAAGTTGCTCCCTCACTCATGGACCGCCTGATGTGGTGCTTCTGGGTGTTGGCTTCCCCATGGCCGTTCTGGAACCCGGGCTCCTTCAGCTCTGCCCTCATCTAGAACGTTCTCCACACTGTGGATGATAGGGGAAGACTTCAGAGGGCACACGCTTTGACCCAGAAGTGACACGTAGCACTTGCATCACATTCCGTTGGCCAGGACTGGTCCACGGTCCACCTTAGATGCAAGGGAGCCTGGGAAATCGAGCCCTTAGGCTCCTCTCAGCAAGAACTCTACGCTGTGGGGGAGGGGAACATAATTCTCCCACGGCCCGCTCCCTGCCTCGGCCATGACTGTCACTGGTTCCCCCGCTCGAGGAACACTGGCCGTTCCCAAGAAGGGCTAAGGTCAAGGGCTGGGGAGAGTCAGAGGTTGAGATCGGAGTGCCAAGAGATGGCTGACCCAGACAGCCCTCTTCCCCCTCGCAGAGACACTCTGGTAAGGAACAGAGAGGGGAGCACCGAGGAGAAGCCCCTGCCAATCCCACACGCCTGCCCCCACCAGGAGGCTCCCACCAAATGCTGCTGGCTGCAGCCTCCTGGGCCCCTGGGGTGTGGAATAAGTAAGCCATACCCAGGTACCGTTAAATAGTGTATTTACAAGTGAAACCGACCTCACAACCCGACACGGGAGAAATTAGGGAGGCGGTTTTATCTCTTCGAAGGCTCACTTAACCTCCTTACTGCTTCTTGCTGGGTGGGTCCTCCTCCTTCCCTGGTGGGCAGTGTCCCCTCAGGTTCCGGGAATCAGGCAGCTGGGAGTTCGGTTCCCGGCCCCGCCACTTACCGGCTGGATGGCCTTAGGTGAGACATTTCATCTCTTTGGGGACGTTTCTCACCTGGGAGGTTGTAGCAAATGATACCTACTTCTCAAGGCCATCGGAAGGAACGAGACTCAGGCCAGCACCTGGCACATAGCAGGTGCATAGTGAGCGGTATCTCTTATTACTGTACTTAAAGCCATTGAGCCATATGGTGACAACCTAAGGCCAGCTTAGTGCTCTGAGTAAGGCAGCGCTCTGGCTAAAAATCACAGGCTCTGGGGCGCCTGGGTGGCTCAGTCGGTTGAGCATCCAACTCTTGATTTCAGCTCAGGTCATGATCCCAGGGTCCTGAGATAAAGCCCTGCATTGGGCTCCAGGCTGGGTGTGGGGTCTGCTCGAGATTCTCTCTCTCCCTCTCTTTCTCTGCCCCTCCCCTGCCACACTCACTCTCTCTCTCTCTGTCTCTCTCAGAAGAAGAAGAAGAAGAAGAAGAAGAAGAAGAAGAAGAAGAAGAAGAAGAAACAACAACACAGGCTGTAGTTATAACCCAGCTCTGACCTTGAATAGCTGTGCGACCTTGGGCAAGTAACTCAAACTCTCTGAGCTGCAGTTTCCTCAGAGAATCAAAAATGGGTCATAAGGTCTTTGTGACAATAAGGCAGAGAAAGCACTCAGCACCGAGCCCACAGCTTGAGCACCAGTCATCAATGCGGCGCGGTTAGGGGTGTTATTTTTAGAGGAACACTGAGGCGTTACCACCCAGCATCCCTCCTGCCAGATGGTTTTAATTCTGATTCTTGCTTCTTCACTGAAGCTGTTGATAGGCGGGCTTGGGAGGAAATATTTATTTAAGCCGCTGACTCTCCACCCCGGTTGCACATTAGAATCACCCAGGGAGCTTTGTGAATCCTTATGCCCAGACAGGCAGCCCTGGCCAATAAAATCAGAATCTCCGAAGTGGGACCCAACCTCAGGGTGTCAGTCCCCAAGGGGCTATCGCTCAGGGGGAGAGCATTTGACCACAGAGCATAAGTCCCCAAGGTGCCCAGGTACAGCTGACAATGGCTCTTAGAGCATCACTGGTGCCGGCTGATTTGCATATACAACTCAGCAGAACCACCAACAGTTGTTGGAGACAGATGTGAGTCCACACCCCCCTCCCCCGCCTCTCTTTTACTCTAGGAGGAAACTGAGGCACAGAGCGGCGAAAGGACGTAGTTAGGTATCGTCACCCCCGTTCCGGAAACAAGGAAGCGAAGCCTGCCCCAACGGTCCCTACCCGGTGCAGAGGTGAACCACAGCCCGGCGTTTGTGTGGGAATCACGTGACGGCCGTCATCCAAGTGGCCAGGGGCCTCCTGTCGGTAGCAGCAGCTTCGGTGGAGGAACGCAGCGTTACGAAAGCTCCCAGGGGCTTCCACGGTGCGGCCCTGGGGGGAGAACAAAGAGGCCGCTTTAGTCTGCTTTTGCATGGGACCCTGAGCCAGGCCCTCCCGGCTCTGCGTGCCGGATTTGGAATCTAGCAAGTGAAAGCGTAAGTGCGGTGGGGGCTTCTGGAACAGGAAAAAGAACATTGGTGATGAAATCTAAATAAAGTCTCTAGTTCACTTAATAATATCGTACCGGTGTTGATGCACCACGGTAAGGTAAGCTACTAAGATCAGAAGAGGCTGGGTGAAGGGTATTCTGAAACTCTCTGCACCATCTACAAGAGTTTAATAAACGAGTAAGCGAAAAGGCCGGCTGCTCCTTGGTGGCTTTCTGGAACACACGCTGGGGACCTGCACTGGGGGAGAAGGAGACTGCCCAGGACGGACCCTTGTTTATGGACGGAGCTGGGCACCTGCCCATCCGCCCAATTCCTACGCCGAGGCCTGAGGCCCCCGGCACCTCAGAATGTGGCTGTATTTGGAGGTGGGGCCTTCCAAGAGGTGATTCAGCTAAACTGAGATGTGAGGGTGGCGCTCATCCCATCTAACTGGCGTCCCTACAAGAGGAGAACAGGCCCCAGGGAGAGACATCACAGATGTGTGCCTACCCAGGAGAGGCCATCCACGGGCCACGGAGAGGGGCCTCAGGAGAAGCCAGCCTTGCTCCTGGACCCCTGCTGTCGGACTTGCAGACTCCAGGAGCATGAGAACACAAGTCCCTGCGCTGGGAGGCCCCCCCACGCTGTGGGACTTTGCCCGGCAGCCCAGCGGACTGTTAGAGCTCCCCAGAGACTCCTGCCTGCGGGGCCTCCTGGGAGAAGGGGAGAGAAAGAAAAGGAGGGTGGGCAGGAGGAAGAGAGGGAAGAGGCAGAGGAGGAGGAGGAGATGAAGGCAATGAAAGAGAGATGAGAGAAGTTTCCAGAAGAAAAAGAAGAGGAACCCGGAGTTTGAGTCCCACCTGGGACTGGCTGTACAGGTCCTTTAAATATTGACAACTTTCAAGGGGCACCTGGGTAGCTCCGTCGGTTAAGCGTCTGACTCTAGATTTCGGCTCAGGGCATGATCTCACGGTTCGTGTGTTCGAGCCCCACGTCGGGCTCTGTGCTGACGGCAGGGAGCCTGCTTGGGATTCTGTCTCCCTCTCTCTCCTCTGCCCCTCCCCCACTCACACACTCATGCTCTCACTCTCTCTCTCTCTCAAAATAAATAAATAAACTTAAAATATATATACATTGACAACCTTCCCAAATAGTTGGCGAACAGCTGCCCCCAATGGCCCCCAGCCAGCCTGTCCCCGCCCAAGATCCCCCAGCTCTCCCCAGATCCAAGGGGGGCTCCAGACCCAGTCTTCCAGCCATCCTTGTCCTGATAGGACAGGGACGTCCAGGCTGGTGACAACCATTGCAACCCTCACCCTGTCCCCTTACCCCTTACCTACCCACAACTCTCTGTGCAACTTCAGGTGACCTGCTTCCTGGTCCCCTGCTTTCTCATCTTTAAAACCCTGGAGTTTTTCTGAGCTTTCAGAGAAATTTCAAAGGGGAAGGTCTCAGTACAGTGGCTGAGGGGTATAGTCCCTAGTGCCTATTAATGCTGGGGTCTTCACTCTAATTGTGGTCACCAGGGAGCGGTGACAATTGACAACTCGCCCGTGCCTCCTGGCTGTTGTGATAATGCCGACACCTGTCATAAGCAGGAAGAGCCAGGGTAAGGGAGTGGCCTCTTGGGTTGGCAGAATCAGCCCTACAGCCTGGACCCTGCAAGGGTACATCTATTGACCCCACCCAGTGCCCCATAGACTCTAGGGAATTCGGGCTCCAGCCAGGCTCCCTAGGGGGATCTGCTGATCCGACGGGGACTCGCCCTGAGAGTCACAGAGCTGGACGGGGGAGGCTGAGGTCAAGCTAGAATTAGGAACACCAGTCAGAAAAACTGAGACAGTGGCCAGGAATGGGGAGACAGAGGAGGGGAACACAAACACAGCGACGTTTGGGGGAAGGCACCTGGACTTGCCCAGATCCTCGACATTCAGGGCTGGGGCTGTGTGGCTGGGCCAGCGCTGTCTGCCGATGGTAATTTACTGAGTACATACGAGGTCCCAGGTGCTGAGCTATAGCTGTTCCGCACTTACGCATAACTCAACCACAGCTCAGCCGGGTCTTGCCGAGACACTGTAAATCAAAGCCCATTTCGCAGATGCAACAAATCGAGGGCCCGGGATAAAGAGTAACTTGTTCGAGGTCAAGCAGAATGCATGATGTAATCCAAGGAAAGAGGTTAACACGCCCCCTCAATAAATGTTTAGCTAGCATTAAAAAATGATGATAATAATCATAAAAGGTCAAGTAGAGAAGCCATGATGGGAATCCAAGTCTCTGTGACTCCTACAGCCAAGCTGACCCATAAAACCCTAAAATCTTCCCTCCCTAGCTGGGGCTGGTCTGCTTCAGGATGCGGGCTGCCTGGCGGGGAGCAGGGCAGGGGCCAGCAAGGACGGGCTGATGGCCCTGGTGGCTGTGTCCACTCCCCCGGGCTCCTCGGACCGGGTGGTAGGAGTGAGAGGAGAAGCAGACGGCGGCCACATACGGGGGGCTGGCCGCCCGCGCCACGTGGGCTACCGAAGGCCATGACCATGTGACCATGTCAACAGTAATCGCTTCCCCCACACCGCATGCCGGCCGGGGCTGCGGGTGGCGCGACAGGTCGGGAAATTAAGATTGAAAAGCACAGTGGAGGGAGCTCAGTGCTCGGGGAGCGACTGCCTCCCGCCTCCGCCTCCGTGGGAGGAAGAAGAGAAGTCACGCCCACGTGCTGAGCTGGGACACCTCCCGCCCCGCCCCCTCCTCCTCCACCATCGCCCCCCGAAGCCTGGGGGTGGCGGAGCCCCCGCCATTCCCGGAGGCTCTTGACATATTAAAAAATAAAAGAAGGCCCCCCCAAAAACCTCAGCAGAGTCAAGGCACATCTCCAGTGAACATATTAACATTTTTAAAACCCTCAGGAAAAAAAAGGCAAAGCAATGTAATTATACTTTTCATAAGATAATTATGGGAGTTCTAAAATATTATCAATTCCGTGTTCCCTGTGGGCAGTGAGGTCCAGGTTTGGGACATAAATTTAAAGTTTGAGAATAAATGACTTCTTTCAGACCTGTTGGTGGATCTCTGAATATAATGGTGTAAAAAGAGTCTTATTTGGAAGTCAGAAACCTAAATCGTGTGCGTGTGTGTGTGTGGGTACGTGTGTGTGAGCATTTAGTATGCGCCAGGTAGAGCACACAAGAGAGCTTTGTAGGCAGCAACGCACTTGCACGTCAGCAACCTTAGGAGTAGGTGCTCTTAGCAACCCCACTTTCCAGATGGGGAAACTGAGACCAAAAGGGCCCGGAATGGCAGAGCTGCTTTGGAGCTCAGGGCATCTGGCTGTAGGGCGTGTGTTTGTACTGCCAGGATGGCTGCATCTTCAAGTCTCCTGAGCAGGCGAGGCCTGGGCACACGGACCCCCTGGCCATCCCCCTCCACCAAAGCAACACTTAGGTCCCGCAGGTTAAAAATAGCCCCCCCTCCCCCAGCGTGGCACATTGTTTAGGCACCTCCAACAGCAGCGGGCCCTGGCACACCCACCTCCCCTCCTAGGCTGAACGCTACCCAGTTCCTAGCCCTGGAGGGAGCGCATCCCAGACCCGGTGGGCTCACACAGCAGAGCATGGGATTCTTGATCTCCGGGTTGTGAGTTCGAGCCCCACATTGGGTATAGAGACTACTTACTTAAATAAATAAACTTAAAAAAAAAAAAAAAGTACCAGTCAGGGCTGCGACTGCCTCCCCAGCTTGGGGCCCACCCAGGGGGTCCCCACCTCCCATCGCCACCCCCAGCTTTCGTCCGATGCCCAGCTCAACTACCTTCCCCAGAGAGTGCTTTCTCCCCTGATCATGTTCATCATCACCCTGTTTCATTTTCTCCATGATAACTTACTGAAATCTAAAATTTCCCCATCTATTCAATTACCTCTTCGCATATTTATTGTCGGTCCCTGTCCAGCAGAATTTAAGCTCAAACGTAAAAAAGCTACATCCCTAGCACCTAGTGGCTGGCACATAGTAGCTTCTCAATAAATACATTGTTCAATAAGGGAAGGCTGAGGTCCCAACATCAGCAACATTTCTGGGGAGAAGGCAGGATGGTTATTCTATAAATTCACAACCCCCCCAAAAAAAGTTTTCCAATAAGTTTTTAAGTTATTGTGTTGAATGAAGCTTTAGAAGAACAGGAAGGAAGCGCACAGCCCTAGCATCTGATCATTGCAAACGTCTAGTCATTCTTGTAATGAACTTAAACTGTAGCAGGAACCATAGAGGGAAGAATTGAGGGGGAGCATTCCCCAACGGTGATGTTCTTAAACAGTACCCTGTGGGATGTTGTATTAACCTCAGAAGTTGGCCTTGAAAAGTCTGGATACAAGACTTCCCGTATGATTAAGGATAGGAGTCTTGCCTATGTGCCTTTCTGACTCGGAAGGGGACCTTATTAGCAATATGCAGCGTCTGTCTTTGAGGACTGCCAAGCATGACCTAAAGAGACCCATATTAGTTTAAACAGTGTATCTTCAAAGCCTTCTTTTGGTAATTAGCAGGAAAAAAAAAAAAAGTTACCGTGTTGATACAACTATTAAGACCTTGGCAAAAAGCCGTTAGAGCAAGCAGTATAGACACAGGAGTGGGTCTGCTTCGCAAAGACTGAACCAGAAGCGGTCAGACCATGAGAAAGTGGCCAAGTAGAATGGACTTTTCCATTTGCACATTCCCCACCAAACAACAGCCTAGACCCTGGGCTCCTCCCCCGCCTACAGCCATACAAACACGTCCTCCTCAGGCTGGCCCAGCCTGCACTTCTGTCCACATACCCGGCAGTGGGAGGTCACCAAAGAGAAGAGGGGAGGGAGGAGCTCCATGTTTTGCTGGCCTCGGAGGAGGTAGGGAAGGAAGCTTCTCTTCCCTGAA